ACGAATAAAAATAGGTTTTGCATTTTAGTAACAAAGTGCCCACCAAAATCTATTCTAGAAGCCTTTTTCCAGTCTATTTACTCTTCAGTATGGAATTGTATTTACTCTTGTACAAAACTAATATTTTTATGTTAAAACACGATTAGAATGTTAAAATGATAGCTTTTTGTTATACAGATAAACTGTTTAGTTTAAATAATTTCCCCTTTTTAATTTTGTACATAAATAATAAACAAAAAGAGCTTCGAGAATAGATTTCACAAATTCAATAAAACAGAGCATTTTAGTAATTCGGTTTATAAAGTTTATGTTGAATTATTTAATAATATACATAAAAATTATAATCATTACTTAGCTTCTGTTATCTTTGAATTTTGTTTTACTACTTCAACTGACCGCTGCCCTTGCAATATTTTTAAAATACAAAACACCATAACCGCAAATTACTTTACTGTTTGAGTAGGAAATATGCAATACAACACGAGCTCCGGTCGCTCGAGTAATACTCTTTAGAGCTGGCAACAGTGTCTGATCTCGCGTTGATCTGTAAATATCTAAAATTTCGTATATAAGTCTTCCCCTTCCCTTTTCAGCTACGGATCTCATTTTGTTGTAAATTTATCAAAAAAATTTAAGTTCAAAAATCTTTTCCCCTCTAAGTCTACCATGATTAATATGTTAATTATAAAGATAGTTATGAACAATATACTCCATTAATTAATTTCCTATTGGTGGATCTCGGGTTGTCCTCGATTTAATCGGATCTCGCCTTGATATGAAGACGTATATATATATATATATATATATATATATATATATATATATATATATATATATATATTCGTATGAACCTTACACATTGCAGTTTTTACATAAAGAAAAGGAAGAAAAAAGTGACAATAACAATAATAAATAAATAAAGACTGACACAGAACATATAAAATTAAAATTATTAAATTAAAGTCGAAGCTTACATCCTCGAAGGCAATTTCTCGCCTTGGGAGTAAGTTGGTGGATTTCTTGAAGGCTGCTAAAGAACTTGGTGGCTGGACACTTGAAGACGATGTGGTTAATCGTTTATTTCGGGCTGGCATTTATACCCCATTGATTCAGCGATTTGTTACAAATTCCATGACCAATTCGTATTCTATTTAGGTTGCGACATTCACAACGGGGAAGAGAAAAACCGTCTGGTTTGATTGTGGGGTTTTCTATCAGATTGAAATTTCTGATGTCTGGATTCCATTCGCCCATCCAGTGCTCTTTGGTAGTGAAAAGAGTCAATTTTGTAGCAGTTCTAGTAGGTGGATGTCTGGATTTCAGTCTTAACTGCCTTTGGTGTAGTTCAGCGATGTCTGTGTTTATCGGTAGTTCTGGGTTTGTTGGCATTTTTGAACTAGAGTGTTCAGTGCGGCTAGTCGTCTTGTTGCTGGTGGAGCGATGTTGCTTAAAGCTGGAAGCCATTGGGTTGGTGTGGGCTTTATAGTTCCTGTTATGTGCCTCATTGTTTCGTTTAACTGGGTATCTATGACTTTTGTGTAATGACTGTTTATATTCTGCAGTAGGATATACTAAGGACAACGCGCTCGTTATTATTACCTCTGCATTCGACCCCCATGATGTATTTGCTAACTTATGGATAATATTATTGCGGATCTTAATTTTTGCGGAAGTGTTTTCCAAATGCTTTTTGAATGTTAGGGTACGACCTAGAGTTACGCTGAGGTATTTTGGGTTAGCACTGTTCTTTAGACTGGTTCCATCGCATTCTATGTTTAGTCTGTAATTTGCCTTGTTGTTGTTTAGATGGAAAGCTGTTACTTCAATTTTCGATGGGTTTGGTTGTAGGCCCCGTGTCTTAAAGTATCTCTTAACACTGTTTAGATCTGCTTCTATGGTGGATTAGGCGATGTTTATGTCTTCTTCTTGGGTACACAAGGCCATGTCATCGGCATAAATAAATTTGCGCAAGGTGGTAGTTGGTACATCTGACATAAAAATATTAAATTCTTTACATTCGTCGTTCCAACATGGGATGTAGGATTTGGTAACTCCACGTGGAATGTGCTTTTTTGCAGATCTAATCATTAGTGATGCGAATCTTTATAGGTAACAACGGTTATTCCAAATACATTATATACATAAAAAGAAAATTTAAAAGGTGATGTCACTATAGAAAACTAAAAACAATATTATTATTTAATTTTCGTATGTGGCAATAAGTTTACGAATTTTTTTACGCAATAAGTATGTACCAGTATTTGTACATCTTACGTATTTCATCTTTTCACTCTTTGATACTAATTTTTTTTGCCTGACTAAGCCACAAAGTGGAGTTTTTGTGACAAATCATGTCAAAGTTAACTTTAAATAAAAAATACAATTTTTATGATAAAAAAATGTAGCATGTTCAAAAAGTAGGGACATTTGCTGTTACAGAAAAAATATGTTCCTAGAGAAACTTGTGTGTAATACTATGTTTTGGCACATTTGCCATAAAGAAAACTAGAATTAAAGTAAATTGTTCAAACTAAACCTTAAAATAAACAAAAAACAAATCTTCAACTTATTAGCTAAAACTTATTCAAGAGCGTATTTTTAATTTTCATGTATAATTGCTTCTTCTAAGCCCTCATCTAATGCATCATAACTATATTTGAATCCAGAATAAATGCTGTGGAACTCAGGCGGAATAAGCTTAGAAAGTAAGTCTATTAAATCTTTTTCTTTTGTTATTGCTCTCCCATTTGGATAAAGAACATCTAGGTTGTGCATTACAGTAGGTGATGATGAACGACCTTTGGTTTTCTTGCTTAAATCAACCTCATGAAACAAACCTATGTCCTGTGCTGTATATTTTACTAAGATACCTTAGCTGTTGTATTTTAAGCCTTTTAACTTTTTCGCTTGTTATAGTAACTTTTCTATTAGCTATCTTATTCTCAAGAGGCTTGCAACTAAAAACTCTAGAGTTCATTCTTTTTATTTAGAATTTTGGATTTATTTTTTTGGCCAATTAAATTATGGACACCCAATCATCGGGATTAAAAATTCGATTATGGTGTTTTCTCTCTCTTTTAATAGACTTAAAATCTTAATTAAATTATTCCATTTGCAATGGAAACTTTGTCTTTAAAAAAGTCCTAACCTACCACTTGGTCACAACCATTTTCATCCGGTAAAGTGTATACACGAGTATTAGACCTACGTGAATTTTGATTTTAAGTGTAAGTTTTCTTTTTGTCTTCTACTTTTATTTGACCTTGAATAAAAGCATTTTCCATTGACTTTCTTCTTCTTAACGTGCCCTAATAAGTCCCCTTGACGTTGGCGATTAACATGGCGAAACTGTCTCTGTCTCGAGCTATTCTAAATAGTTGCCTTAGATTTCTTTATTCCTGTCCCCTCCCTAATATTCTTCAACCAAGAGGCCTGCTTTCTACCAATTCCTCTGCGTCCTTCCATTTTAGCCATCATAATAAGTTAAAGAATATTATATCGGTCTTCCCTTACTACGTGTCCAAAATAGGCCATCTTTCTACATTTGATGTTATCAAGCAGCTCGCGAGCAGCATTTGCTCTATCAAGGACTGCTACATTTGCCAGCATAGCCGTGCATGGAATTTTTAGTATACGTCTGTGCAGCCACATTTCAAAGGCCTCCAGACGATTAATGGTAGATATTTTTATTGTCCATGCTTCGACACAGTATAAGAGAACTGACCAAATGTAGCATTTAACCATGCGCCTTCGAAGTTGAAGATGCAAGTTATCATTACAGAAGAATGACCTCATGTTTAAAAATGTCGTGCGGGCTATCTCGATTCTACACTTTTTCTCTTGATCTGGATCTAGTTGTTCAGTAATATGGCAACCCAGATATTTAAAACTAGACACTCTTTGAATTATATGACCATCAACATATAATCGTGCATCTTGATGTGCAAAACGGCTAAACACCATGTGTTTTGTTTTTGCACAGTTTATGTTTAGGCCAAACTCTCTTCCCACTGCATCAATGGCATTTAAAAGGCATTGTAATCCATTTATGTCATCACTTAAAATAAGTGTATCGTCTGCATATCTGATTGTTTTTATCACAATTCCATTAACTTTCACGCTCCATTCCAAATTATGTAGCGCTTCTTTAAATATTTTATCTGAATATAAATTAAATAACAGTGGGGATAGTATACAACCCTATCTGACACCTCTTTGTATTTCACATATTTCTGTTGATTTTCCGTTTATGCAAGCTGTCGCTGTTTGACGAAAGTATAACTTTTCTATGAATCGTATGTCTTGACTATCAACTCCTTTATCTTTTAATATTGTAAATAATTTGTGATGCTGTACTCGATCAAAGGCCTTTTTATAGTTAATAAATACAGCAAAGACGTCTTTCCTTTGATCTCGACATTTTTGCAGTAATACGTTTAGTGCAAAGAGGGCGTCCCGAGTTCCCAGTCCATTTGTGTTTCATCCTGATCCTCTTCACATTTATATCTGATTCTACTGTGGATGATGCGCAGAAATATTTTCAAAGTGTGGCTCATAAGGCTTATCATTCTATAATGGCTACAGTTTTTCGGACGTTGTTTTTTTTAATTTTTTTTTGCTTCATTTTGCACGAACATGTTCCAACTATGAGTTCTTTAGAATTTTTACGTTTTTCGTCTTCCGTGACATACTATTCTTCTTTCTCCCTGACTATCTTCCTTTCATTTCTCGTATGACTCTCAAAATTTTTTACTCTCTTTCTGGAATGTTGGTGCGATTTGCCTTTTGACTTATCAATGTCTTAATTCTTAGTGTTCGACAACACATTTATTGAGTTTTTTCACTCGAATGATCATTATTTTCGTCTAGAACAATAAAAAATATATTACAAGTAATTTTTGCGACAGAACAGCCTAAGTGACATTTGTTTATAAATAAGTATTTAAGGATTGTCTTGCTTGTTTTACATTTAAATATTAATACTATTGTTACTGTCCTACCTGAAGACTCAGTATTTGAACAACTGGGATTATAATTACTGTCTATATCGCTATCTATATCAATTGAGGCAGTTTTGCCGCAAGTTTGCTATGACATTAATTTATAATGTTTACAAAAATCATAAGCACTTATTAAGCTCAATACAATAAAAGAAATTTTTGGGGTTAGGCACCTTTGCCTCTGAGCCACTCATATATAAATAAAACTGAATTGAGATTTGCAGGGAAAGTGGGGATGTACATGGTATTTAATTTACACCTTGTACAGTTAGTTGATTCCATTACATGTGTCGCCGTTCTCAATTTCTTGTTATACATTAACTGATATTTTATTTGTATAGAAAGTTTAGAACTATATCATTCCACGCTCAATTTTCATAGTTGAAGTTTTCTCAATTATTGAAAATTTCAAAATGGTTTTCAAACTTCATTTTGTGAATACGTTTTTTCAATGTACATTCATATTTTCGTCAATTTTTTAGATAACGACGGCCAGTATTTTATAAAATCATTCATATCCCTTTTATATTCATTGTTATTTTATTTACTCGCTTCCGAAACGTCCATTGATAAAATCGACATTGGAAACCTTTCTCTAAATTGGAGCTATACATACAAATACAACGAAGAATGATATTATTCCTGGAAAACCCTGGGTTGTCGAGAATAAAAACAAAATCAAAATGAAATTCGTATACATGCATTCCGATGAGGATGGAAGGGAAGACAGATCTTTGGTTTATGCTGACAAAGATATTGCAAATTCCTCTTGAGATGTGATTGTTAGACAGTATTACTCAGCCTTTGGTGTAAGTATGAATAATATTATTTCACTACTTTACACTTTGCTGACCTGTGCGATTCAATTTTATTTGAGTTGCAGTATACAGGGGACAAAGAAATACTAATTTTTGAAATTTACAAAAATATATTGTGATGTTTGGTATTTATTATCAAAACAATAATGACTTTATATATATATATATATATATATATATATATATATATATATATACCTATATATATTAAATATAAAAAACTATATAAAAAAAATTTATTAATTTGTAAATATTATGTATTCCTTTCAGTTGGTGGTAAGTGAATTTATGGCAGTTAATTTCCTCAACATTGGTGGCATGAGCTATATACACATATAAAAACTCTTAACGTTGACTGCTGACGTGAAAATAAAAATTAAAAAGCATTTAACTCAGAAAACAAATACCCGAAATTAATATAAGAAAGCTAGAGAATTAAGAAATAAAAAACGAATTAAAAAATCATGAGAATATTAATATAAAAAGCACTAACTTCCAACAAACAAATTATGGATGTAAATAAAAAGTGGTATATATAAAAAACACATTACTAAAACCAGCTTAAGAAAGTTTGATACAACATAGATCAGGGGCTAAAAACAGTGGATGGCAGAAGAAATACAATTACAGATGGAAAAATAAGGAAATATAAAGAAAAAGATCTAGAGAAGTATAAAGAATTGCAATGAGTAAATAAGGAGAAAATCAAAACATCTAGGGAAATCTATTTGATGAAATAATGAAATGAGATAAAAGAACTAGAATATGCACAAAAAAATAAGAGAAGTGACTGGAATGGGTCAAAATAGACAGCACGGCAACATAAAGGATAGAAAATGAGTACTTCTACTAGATTTACCACAGAAATTAAGATGATGGAAGGAGTACGTTAGAGAACTTTTCCAAAATGGGAAGAGGTGAAATGCAGAAAATACAAAAATTAAATCCTTTAGAGAGACAGAAGATCACGTTAGATGAAATTAAATATGCTATCAAAAACTGTAAAGAAAATAAGGCAACTGAATTAGATGAAATACCAGTACAACTGTTAAAACTAGTGGAAGAGGATAACTTGGAAGTATTTTGGCAGATTTATTCAACACAGTGTACGATAAGGGAATAATAGCAGCATTAAAAAAAACAAGCAGCAATAGAGTGCTCTGATTATCGAATACTAAGCCTCATGAGTCATACTTTAAAAGTACTGCTGAAAGTAATACATAAGAGATTATACGAAAGAAACAGTAAATTTACTGGTTGTATTTTGAGAACGATTTCCGAAGTGGCAATTAAAACGTCAATAAACGTATTTTTACCTTTAATTGTGGCCTATTCCCAGTTAAATAGTAATTAATTTAAAATGCCACAAGAAAATAGCTTCAGAACAATATTCTATAAAACTTGTTCAGAAAAATGTTCTGTCCGGAATTACTTTAAGATATTGGTGTTGAGCTATGAGTAAGCAGTTGTTTTCAAAGTAAACGTTTTTTGTTGGCTTGAGCATTATTCGGATAGAAACAACAAACTTTAGTTTTCGTTGCATTAAGCCGTAGCCTCCATTTGCGAAAGTATTCTTCCACGATCGCAAGGTCATCCGTTATTATTGTTTCGGTAATATCCATGGTATTAAATCTTATTGCAATGGCCCAGTCGTCAGCGTAGCCAAATTTCTGCAAATTTATCCCAGGTAGGTTCGCCATGTATAAACTAAACAGTAAATTTGCCCAAAACAGATCCCTGTTATACTCAATTGCTAAGCTTTATTTGGATACTTTTAAAGATGCCCATTGTGACTTAAAAAGGTCTGTCGAAGAGCATGCTATCAACGAGTTTAGTAACCATTTGACACGATATGGCACAAATTAGTTTGTAGATTAGTTCTGGTCTCCAAAGAGTATCGTCTGCAGCTGATAGGTCAATGAAAGCAGCGGATATTTTTTGCTTTCTTTGAAAAATTGCTTCAACATGTGTTGTTAGGAAGAGGATTTAATTTATGCAGCTGCTGTTAGGACTGAACCATGCTTGCTCAATAGGTCTCAATTCAAATACAAAGGCCTCAATAAGAGCCATATTAAAACCAGAAAAGGCAAATGATCACCTCCAAACCTACCCACCGATTGCACTGCTGAGCTGTGTCTACAAATTATTGAAACGCTTAAACCTTCGGAGGTCGCGGTCAAAAAGTGTACTGTCTAGGTTGCGGTGTATCTCAGAGATACATTCATACAAGACCAATCCAATACAGATTAATTAGGGGTATCAGGGGTGTCGCAAGCACCAAATGTATCTCAGGAATTTTTAATGCAGTAAACCTCACAACATTTTCGGCTACAGAAACGTCCTCGAACGCCAAGAATTAACAAAAGAAGATGGTGGTCCAATGGTAGTAGTTCGTGGTGTAACAGGTGATACTGTTGCCATAAAAATTGATTCTAGCGAATTTAAATCTATTGTTTAAAAAAGTAAATACCTTTACCTCCATGCAAATAAGGTGTAATTTCGAAGCCAAAAACAGTTTTTAGAAAAATGAAAAAATTAGCCACTCCATAAGATTTTTTTAACGACATAATGGTTGACCATCTAGTGAAGCAAACAAACTTGTATGCTCGGCAAAATGATATAGAAACAAAATTCAGTATTCAGTTTGACGATATTCAAAAATATTTTGGCATTTTTCTATATATGTCTGTTTATCGCTATCCGAATATCCGATCCTATTGGGGAAAACACTCTTTTCAGCCAATTTGTCATACTATGCCTTTGCTTCGGTTTAAATCCATACCCCAGTACCTACACTATAATGACAACTCAGTAGCTGTGGAAAGGGGTAACCCTAGATACGATCCTCTACATAAAGTTCTTCCGCTAGTAAAACAGGTTTTATCAGTCTTGATGCCTTTTAGGTTATGCGTAGATGAACAAATGTGCGCTACAAAGATCACTAGAAGTGACCTTCGATAATATATGCCCAACAAGCCACATAAGTGGGGCTTCAAATTGTTTCGCCTTTGTGACACTTCTGGATTTTCGTTTTCATTCGAAATTTACACTGGTGCAGGAGACAACATAATCTTGGACGACACTCCAGATTTTGGGATGCTGTGGTTCGCTTATCAAAGCATATTTTAAGTTTCGTAAATCACATTTTATATCAAGTCTAAAATGTGATTTCTATACGTCTTTGGGCCTGCTTACCTATCTTCGAAGTATAGAAATATACAGCTTGGGAACAGTAAAAAGAAACAAAGTACCCATTCGCAAACTGTCGAGTTGAAGTTGTCCGTGGCAATTCAGAAGAATTTGTTGGTAACGCATATATGGTATAGATATTACCGCGGTATTGTGAACCAATATAAAATATGTGCACTTTTTTCGACCTATGTTGATGTGAAACAATTTGCATACAAAAATGATAGCGTACAGTCCCACAAAATTAGACAGTGGGACAGAAAAAAAATAGTTCACGATGAAATCGATTGGAAACAGATCATCAACGAATATAATCGGCAAATGGGAGGTGCTGTTTTTATTGATGGACTATTAGGTCGGTATCGCATTCATATGAAGACCAGAAAACGGAATAAACGTATTTTTTACCAATCCATAGATGTCTAGGTGATCAACGCTTACTTACTGTATCACAGGATTCATTCCCAAAATGAAAGAAAAAATGAGTTTCCAGTGTTCAGAACACAAGTAGCTGAATCGCTTTGCTTGTGTGGCATGGCTCCAGTCAAACGACCTGTCGGCCGACCTTCCAGTTGTTTACCTAAAACCACTGCAAGAGCACCAAAAAGAGTATATCGTACTGGTAAAAAACAGTGCAATTTCATCAAAAATGCACATTGGAAGCCCAAGCATATTGTATAAAATGCAACTTATCTTTATGTAATTTACGATTTTCATTCGTTTGATAATTTAAAAAAAATTAAATGCTGATGCATGGTTACTGCATAAGTCGGCCTCAAGGCGGATGTCTGTTTTTACCTTTTTGAGGTACATATGGCAGTAATATCAATTTTTGCCTCAGTACATTTGTGTTCGTAAGTGCAAAATCTAACTTTCCAGAATTTTTCAGCCCGAACTAAAATTGATGGACTAGAGGGTTAATAATTCAAACGAAAAACTAAAAATTGAAAATTTAAAATGTTGAATGTATGTATGTATTGAAATAATGATAAGTATATAATAACGAAAAAGTTTCCACAGTTTCTAGGGAAGAGATGAATACAAAATAAGGTGTAAAAATAGAATAATATAGATAGATTTT